CACAGCTTGATCATAGCTGAAAACCAAGCACTCATCACCAGACATGACCTTCCAGAAGAAATTTGGTTTGAGACAAAAGTTGCTTGAGTAGTACGGAGCAGGTGGTTGGAACCGTCAAAACAAGACAGATGTGCCCGAAGAGATCCAGGCATGGCCGAGAACATGACTTTTAATGGTGGGGGGTTTAATATTGCTTTTGATTATAGTTTGTCTGCTGAGCTGAAGCCTCACCTGTGGGTTGTTAGCCTCAGCTAACTTGCACTGCCGCAGGAACTGCTTCAGATTACCCCAAGCAATGAAAGGCAGCAGCACCATGGGCTTCTCTCCATCCTCTGTGCACACGTGGCTTATGGGAAGCAGATTTCTTAAAAGAAAAAAGAAAGCAACCAACTGAGGAAACAGGACCTGAGTGTACCAGATCATCATTTCTGCTCATGTACACGTCTACTGCACATTAAAGGAAGAGTAAAGGACATTATCATGCAAAACACCAAAGAGGAACTGTCAGCAAATATGACAGAGCTGATGTCATGCAGAGGAAAGAGGAAGGCGTGGGACATCGTGACGGCAATCTTTTCCACACAAGTACACTGCTGTAAGGCTGCTGTAAATTTCGGGTAAAATCTGCCGAAGAAATGCTGCTTTGCACCCGTTTTGCTAATTTCCTGTTCCGTGTATTTATTCTTAGCTACTACTTTTATATAATATTTCGTATATGAATTCAAAAATAATCCTTGTTCGTCTTCACTGGGCCTTGCTGCAGTCCTTAGTCTATGCTTTTCCTGAAAGAAAAAGACTGTTTAGGGATCTAACCCATCTTGTTAAACAAACCTTCTTCTGATTGGCCGCTTCTCTTAAGCAAAACCTTTGGTCGTTGGGGCTTCTGTATCCTTAACATCATCACATAAACGGTTTGTGCCTTCACTGACGTCATAAAGATCAGTGGGGAAAAACTGGAATCGACTGTTTGGCTTTTGGCTTTTATATGAAAAAGGTCAAGTTTGAGCTGAACATCCACTAATGGAAGAAGATATATTCGAAGAACAATTTTATTTTAGAATTTTTTTAAATTCTCATGAAGTCTTAAGACAAAACACAAAGCTAACAACAAATTGATTTCACAAACGGCCATTCCCTAAAAACAATCCATGATGACTTTTGGGCCATAAAACTGTGTCAAGAATATAAAAATCACATATATCAGACACTCAGATACCCTGTTTGCCAATCTTCCACCATTTTATCAGTATGTACAAGAAAACAAAAAAGAAAAGGTCTCCTTTAAAATAAATTCAGAGCCTTTCAGACAATATTTTATTACAAATGTCACAAAGACTGACTTCGATTCACACTCCTTATTAAGGTATCAGCCCTGTTTGCAAACATGTGGTGTTCTTTCATCAATGTTTAAATTGACTCTTAAGAGACGACCACAGAAGCAAGGCTGGCATGCTATGCTCAAGCGTCAACAAGACATCCAACCGGTGACGTAAGACACGAACCATGCTGGTGTTGTAAGCTTGCATTTCTAAAGAAACTGTAATTAAAAAACTGATGAAAAACTCTAAAGGGACGGTAACTGTATGACAGCAGCTATGATTCCTTATATGATGCCGAGCAATAGATTCTTTTTTCTTTTTTCCCCTCGTGTGCATCAACAGGATGCCTGAATATTTAATATTCTCTAAAGGCCCAGCTATGTGTATATGTGGCAAGATTTACCTGTGATGAAGGCCACGAAGTTTGCAACTTTCAGTCAACATCATCGTCACCTGCACCTCAGAAGCATGATCTGAAAAATTTTATCGGACACAAAAAAAACAAACATTTAAATTAAAAACAACAAACTTGGAGCAATGAGCGTCTGTTGGTGCCATGTGGCGTTTGATTTTTATCATTTCATTGCAGTTTCTCTGCCAGCAGTCATTTGTAGTGGGAAACTTCAGGGGAAAAATAACTTGAGCCAGTTTTTAATCTGCGCTTGCAGCTTTGCCATCGTCTGGAACTTATGGAAAGCAGTATTGTTCCCCTCTCAAAAGGCGAATGAGGAGGAAGTAAAGAGTTTAACAAAGCCAAAACTGGCATGAAGACATTGTTCGCCGAGTGGTATCCACCCCTCACTGAGTAAACATGAGAGAATAGAGAGGTCAAAAGGCAACTGGCAGAGAAAGCAGACACATGCTGCTAACAAAGAACCTGACAGTCCTGCATACGGGAGCTGCTTCGCTAGCATGCAACCCGCAGCGTGAGTAAGACTTATTATTCATTTACTGTCAAATTCGTGTGTCTGTTTATTGGATTGAAACCCATATAGGGTCATCGGATGAAGCTAGCAGTGAAGTACCTACTGTTTCTGAGAGACAGTGTTTGGGTAACAATCATCGGTGCTCATCCGCAGGGCATAAAAAACAACTCCAAACCGCAACCTGACGTATTGGTTATGTTTCAGTTCGCCGATGTTTGTCATCCCACCCACATCTTCAGTGTTACAGTCATGTTTCAGTTCAGTGATGGAATCGCAGCGCTCACTCATGCCACAAATCCGCTGTTATACAACACTGTGCGAAAATCTACAGCCACTTTTTATTTGTATTTTGCTTCCAAGGAGAGGAACCTTGTTGAAATTATTAAGGTGGTCTTGAGCAATAGCTCTCCAAATTTTCTGAAGGTCTTTAAAAAAAGTTTTTCTTTGGACATTGGTTCATTTTTCACTCACTTTCACTCCTCAATGACTGAAGCATAAAATACGCACTTAAATCAATGGACCAACCACTGTTGTGTTTCTATATAACAGTTAAAGTAGCAAAGAACCGCCTGTACATTTCATTGTATGGCAGAGGACCCCACGCAGCACTGGCAATGAATCTAACCGGACCACATAAAAGCCAAATGACCTGGCCTCCAAACTCCCCAGATCCTGATTGGATCAAGCATCCGTGAAATGTCCCACAGCCGACTGTTTGTAGGAAAGAGATGTTTGGTAGCCATCATGTAGAACAGTAACCATCATTATTTTCCCCCATTTTAAAGCCTAATCAACTTTCATTCTAGGCCGGTCGAGGACTTAATAAGGATAAAACTTAAATTAAATCACAATTCACATAAAATTAAATCCTGGTACTAAACTATGCATCTCTGCTCCTTCAATCTGATTCTCATCTCCCAGTGTGACCCATGGAATTAAATACACTTTCCAGTATTAAAAAGGTGGTTTTAATGTTTTAGTTGAAGGTAGCAGGACTCGCAGTGTGAGAATGTCACTTCTTTTATCAATAGAAAATAAAAATGTAAAAACAAATGATCAGATTATATTATTGCAGTGGTATATATTCTAATGATATTACTCTGATGTACTGTCTGGGGGGTAGAAAAGAAATATTTCCACTGATCTGCTGCGTGTCCACACAGATTTGGAGACTACAGTGCATCTGAGCATGCTCCCCCTCAGTAACCTCATTCCTCTGAATAACCCTGAACATACTGGGTAAAGTTACTTATTGACAAGATGACAGGGATAAACCAGAGTGGTCAGTATTTTCATTTCTTTTACAATATGTTTACTTAAGCTGGAACAGGGAGCATACCTTTCACGGTCTTCACAAAGACCTGCTTCTCCTTACTGGGGTCCTTTTCATCCAGCAGCACGCCGTGGAAGATGCGGCCAAAAGTGCCTGTCAACGACAAAACACAGGTTTTTAATCAGAGGAAAGGGGTAAACGAAAGAAAGCCAGGGGCGACTGTTTCAAAGATTGAAATGTCACCTCACTCAGAGGCTACCATGCCTGGCTGATTAGTGAACAGAGGCAGACACGCTTCTGCTTAAAATGCCTTGTTGCTAAATGGGATGAGGCAGTTTTGGCTGCTTTTCACTAAGGCGATACAAAGCAACAGCAATTCAGTCTAGCTCAGAGGAGCTTTCATCACTCAGACCAACTGAGAAAAGCTTACGATGTGGAAAGGCCAAGTGAGCGTGTTCATCATCTCCTTTGTCTAAACTGTCACCCTGTAGCTCCAGGACTTTTCTGAGCTAAAATGGCATTTAAGCACATAAACCATCAACACAAACGTAGAAAAAAACTGAGCTTCAGGGCCAACTATGCCTTGTGTTTCAACAGGAAAGTAGTCGAAGCTTAACAACAGGGTTAGTGTCTCTCTCCCGCCTTCTTCGTCAAGCCTGTCGGGACCTGCTGGCTCCCAAAAAACACAACTGCACTCCAAGTTCACCCCTCTGAGACGTGACGACCTGTGTCTTTGTTGTTTAAACTCAAATCTTATTATGAATACATTTTATATCATTTTGTTTGCACATCAGCCGAATACCAGCAGTTAGAAAGTGTGTTTCCTTGCTGGAGAAAACTGATAATACAGAACAGAGCAGAGCTCTAAACCTTGTAAAGTTTTTTTTGCTTTACTTTGTGTCAATATTTCCATTACTTTTGCAAAGTCATCATGTCACCACAGAGGGAAATGGGTATTATAACACTAACAGCTGCACATTTCATTTGCCTGACTTCTGGCTTGCTGTGGCGCGTCTTATGGGAATAGTGCGATCGGCCACTACTTCCATATGAAGGCAACGTGCTACACGTGTGCTGTACTTGCTGAGCGCAGAGGGAACACAGAGTGTGAATTTTGACATGTTGGCTGTAGTCGCACTTCCTGTACCACAGCATGACTGTGCCTGGCTTTAGGACTTCATAGCAGGAACTGCACTGCTTGTGAGCGAAAAATGTTGCAATCCTACACACGTTAATGTGACAGAACATTTCCCAGATATTAAACTGGTAGCTGTGCAAAGCATGCACAACACCACTTGCTGGGAATTCTGTGCTGATGTTTGATTGCATCTTGTGACGGAGGCCAATGTACAACTATTACCCATCATTGATAAAATCATGAGCACCCTTCTGCACCACTTACTGGATCCCCCCCCCCTTTATTTTCTTTTAGCAAATGTCTACTTTTATACATCTGAGGGGTTAATCTTTCCTAAAGATGAGATCATCACAACAAATCCACTCCAGCTTCAGTAAGATCAATGCCAAATTAGAGGTAACACTCTTGACAAATGTCTGTAAACATCTGGGATCAATATAATCCCAGTTTGTTTTTACAATTACGTTATTACTGCAAGTTTACATACATGAGTCAACTTCAGGCCCACAATCTAATACTAGAGTGCATGAATAGTTTATAAAGGCAGCAAGTAATCTCCATCTCCATCTCTCTTTCCACTAGTTCCTGTTCTCTGAAGAAACTCCAAAACCTCTCAAAGGTTCTCCTCTCCAGTCCTAACAGTTTGTTACTTTATGAGCTCTTTAGAAAACCATATTATTTGTTATTTGTTACTAGGAGAAACATTTTTCAATCTTTGTAAAATATTTCATTATTTCTTTTAGACACGAGGCTTTTTATTGTGAGCACAACCTCTTTAAAGTAAAACTAGTGTATCAGAGAAAGAGTGGTGCTTCTGTTACATTGTAAACAGAAGCAGAGACTAAACCACTGAAGGCTGTCAAGCAGCATTTAAAAACACAACACCCACATTTTCTTCTCCATTGTGTTGTATGCACCTTTGGGTAAATGTTACATCATTCACTCTAAGCCCCAGTGTGGGCCAATATCCAGAAAACGAATCACAGTTTTGTCAGTACCTTTACTCCATGACAAAGCTGAATAGTCTCCAAAGCGAGGAGCACAGATCGAGCCAAACCAAAGCCCTGACATTTAGCTTTGATGAGGCCAAAGAGAAAAAGACTGAGAAAATTCAGTGTCTAAGGCTCTCTGTTAGAAACTCATACGCCTGAGCAGGAATGAACTTTTACTATTTTGACGTTCTTGGCAACTTTTTATTGATACTGATCTGATGAGGCATGCTTGTACTCCACAACAGGAAAAATAAACCACATTCATGAAGCCTATTGTCAGTATTATGCTCACAATACGCTACAAATAAACATGGGATTTCTCAATAACATTTGTATAATTTTGATGGTTAATTTAAACATCTTTTTACATTCTTTTATGACTTCTATGCCTGTGATTTGAGACTGCAAGGTAGAGTTACAGTATGCAGCAAAACAGCAGGTGTGACCCTGCATGACCTTCCTCACCTGTGCAAGGTTAGGACTTTAAAGAAGGCCAAACCCATCCTGGGTGACCCTTTACATTCCTCATCAAAGGAGTTTAAGTTGCCGCTGACAGACTCACAAACTCGTTTGTCCCAACTCAGTCCACTATGTTTTTAATTTTGCTTTCTTTAATAAAGACATCCTTCAATTATATCACTGAACTTTCAATTTTGCCACAAATTATATTTATATACAAATTGTGTATTTTACCATATCGTCAGTGCCAATGGACTCCCATGTTTAAAGATCTCACTTTACAGGAGAAATAAACAAGCTGATGAGTGCTGACCTTACGCAAGTGGCCAACGTCATTGCCAGTGTTCACTCTTGTACACGGTGTGCCTACAGCACCAAAACACTAACTGAAGTTGATCCACTCTCCTCCAGCTGGCAGTCGCTGCAGGCTGCCTCAACATGTTACATAGTTACACTTCTGTGGAGGTGTAAGTCGGGTTAGGGCGTAAGATACGGTGTAGGGTTTCCGAAGTGTTACAGTGCTGATTTAAATCCCACACTGAGAGCATGGTTTCAGAACACAGGCAGCTGTAGCCAATTAGTGTCTGCTAGACCTCAAAGTCAGTTTGCTAAATAATCTATTAGTGTGAGGTGTGACTATCTGTGTCTGTGAAACATGCGTTTTGGCTTCTGTTTATTTAAACGTTTCTAAGTCATTATTTTATTCGTGTTTAGAGAAATCTACTTATAAATATTTAAAACAATAACAAGTGTTAATATCACCTTTCAGACTCAGCTGAGCAGCAGGAAATACACAGATGGGTAGTTAAAATTCATCCGAGTCCATTTTTGTAACAAGCTTCCTGACTATTCCCGATAGTGGCAGGAATATTCGTAACTACTGTTGCTACAATCCCATTGGTTTCTAAAGGTGTGCTGATGTATCCTGGCAGGTTTTCAACCACACAAAACCTTTTCAAACAACTTAACTGCCAACAGCAGAAACTATTTCTAAGGCCTTTAGAACCAGACATATTTCAACTCGAAATGTTCAAATACTAAAAGTGAAAGCATGGGTTTTTTTGCAGAAACATTATTTCTTAAAATTATGGAGTAATTCCAATTACAAATAAAAGCCTAATTATTGTTTCTACTAGCACTTCTCCCTTTAGGTTATGCTAGCCCCATGTAATTTGTAATTTAAGCTTAAATCTCAACTCAGTCTGTTAAAGCAATCTCATTAAATTTTTTTTAAACATTTAGTCTTTTCCTTTTTCTCTCTGTTCATGTTCTTTATATAGAAAACCCCGAACATGTAAAAAACGTGCATGCTGAAAAGTTAAATGAACAAATGATGCTGAACGAAGCATAACACGATTATTCATGACTGCAGGACTGAAGTTTCATTTCATGCGTATATAGACTGGATCGCGCAAATCACTCGAGTCTCCCTGGAAATGTCAATAAAAGGCAAAACACCGGGGCATAGGCCTAAAATACTGGGAAGGGAAATACCTTCATGTAAGACGTCTCGTAGTGTAACTCGGTCCCTTGAGATTGCAATATCTTTAACTTTAGCTTTGGCCTCCATCAGAGTCACACTCCTCAGGTCATTCTTCTCTATGCGCAGAGATGGGTAACCTGTAAAGACACACAAAAAATAAATAAATTAACACATTTCATTAATTCATGAAACCTGCTGTCCCAGCAGCAGTTCAGTTTGTCTTCTCCAACAACCTTTTAAGGCCATGGATGTGACAAGTTAATGCAAAGTTTGTTTGTTTTTAGGTCAGGAGCAAAACTCATTTAAATAGGCTGTAAACACATTCCTAATTAGACCTGAAATTTTTGTTATTACTGTTTTAATCTGTAAAGAAATATTAGTACATTCTGAAAATCAGTGTTGAACAGTCTGAGATGTCCTAATAAATGTCTAATGTCAACCTTATGTCTCAGTTTTTCCCAGATTTGTTGGGTTTTTCAGTGAGTTTATTGCTTCAAAATAAAAAAAAACCCCAAAAAACCTTAAAATGTGACATTTTTGAATCCAAACATCAACCATTAATTAAACAATCTGTCTAGACATCTGCTTTGCACCAATACCTAAATTGCACTGATATACCCAGACTAGCAGTGTATTTTATTTAACAAACAAACAGTTAATTTACTGTAACTTGCATCCTTTGTGGGGCCTACTGGAGGGCCAGTTTTGGCCCCTGGACCACATATTTGACACCTGTGGTCTTAATTTCATTTGCAGAAGCATCGAAATACCAAAGGATGAATAACAGCTTGAGTATGATGACTTCATTGTAATTTCTCGTTGATCAAAGTACACAATCACCAAAATAATGTGATGCTACAACATGATGTATGCAGGTCCTTCTGCTGGTTTTACAGTCCTCTCCTCACGCAACAGCCTGTGTCCTGGTATCCCTTCCACTCTTGTCACACTGTGATGCGAGACGCAGCAAGCTCTCTTATCTGCATATATATATGTTTGGCATCCTGGGGGCATCCTTTTTTTCATTGCTTCTGTGAAATCAGACCAGAGGGACCAGCCGTTTGTGCCCTCTATGTGCTAAAACCATTCCTTTCTTGTTTTTTTGAGGGTCGTCTTGCAGTGGGTTCTCCCGTTTCTACTTCGATTTGCACAAAAGCAGGTGAAATGGATTCACAATGGTAAAATGGTAAAATAAGACAAACTGCAATACATATTTCCTATAGAAACAAAGTAAAATTTGGTTTATAAGTAGTAAGAGATGATCTTTGTTTAAACATATTAAAAAAAAACCAAAAAAAAAAAAAACCCAAAACCCCCCAAAACCCCTGAAAATCATAATTAATGACAGAACATTTCTGCCCCAGATGAAACAACATCCACACTGAAAGACACAGCAATCCTGTCATAAATAATTCCACTTTGTCATTTTACTCACTTTTTATCTATGTTGCTTGAGGGTTAAAAGGCACACATAATCCAAATCTAAACAAACCTCTTACCAAATGACTGACACATTTTTTAAACCTGGATTAGCACACAAAAACAACCTGGGAGCTTCTGCTTCGGATCACAAATGTCATATTTCTTCTAAAATATGTAGACTCAAAGAAAAGAAATGACAGCAATTCCAGGAAAAAGCCACACATGTACAGTACCCTGCACATGTTGCATCACAGCGACTTCATGCAAAGTCCTGTGTTACAGCACATCTATTACATAAGCTCCCCATGTACTCGCTGTTATCAACTGCTGGTCTTCAGAGGCGAGAGGTGAAGTTATAAAGTTCCTTATAGATTACGCACACACATAAACAAACACAACAGTTAACAAATGCTAGCTAAAGAGGCAGTTAGAAACTAAAGAGCTCTTCCTGTAGAAAGAAAAAGATCTGAACCAGAGTCAACAAGAATCAATGACCCCTGATCTAAACTCGCCATGTGTATATAAAGCACATGTGTCAACAGGTTTCTTCCATTCCAGCCTCTCCACCACTACGGGCAAGACCAAAGATGCTGGCATAGGATGTCAGGACTGTAAACCTGCACAACGCTGGAATGCGCTACCAGACCGTCAGCCAAAAGCTTGGTGAGAAGGTGATAACTGTAGGGTGTGATTATTTAAAAATGGAGGAAAATATAAAACGATCATCAAGCACCCTCGGTCTGGAGCCCCATGCAAGATCTCGTCTCATGGAGTCAGGATGATCATGTCCACAGAATACATTTCTGTGGTCCTGACTCCCTTGATATCCTTAACACCCTCCTCCTGTGTAGGTTTTGGGCTGATTCACCACCAAAACTACACAGGAGGAGCCCGGTGGAGGAAGTGAAAACAGGATCTTAAATGTCAAAACATTTAGAAATATGCCATAAACACCTCTTCTTAAAGCTCTACTGTCACAGTGTGGCAAAAACTATCATGGTGCAGAGCGATGCTGCCCCCTACAGGTCAAACTATGAGCAGTGGTTATCTCAACAATGTAAATGAGAACAGACGTGGTTGGGACTGCACACAATCAATCCTAGTACTCTGAGCCCGACTTCTCAGGCAATTTTTAATTTTATTGTGCTTTACTTAAAATTCGCATTATGTTTATGTGTTTTATTTAGACTTAAGGAGTTTCACTGATCCATTTCATTTTGGTTCTTGTTTCAGTTCAAGAAAACCCAATACTAGATCAAAGTATCCCACAGTGTCCTTAACCATAAGGAAAGGAGTCCAAATTTGCCAAAACCCTGTTCTTTTTTTGTTAGTTTTTTTACAATGCAAATTTTTTAAAAAAATGCTGGAAAATGGAAATAAAAACTTACAAATCTCACAGACCCATACTTTACAAACCGAGAAAATGTACCATTTCAAGGGAAAAAACGTCAATTCGAATTTGTTGCAGGTCTTAAAAAAGTTTGGACAGGGCCATGTTTATGACTTAACAACAGTCTGTAAATGTCTGGGTGCTGAGGAGAGCAGCTGCCAGACTTTTGGGAGAGGAATGTCCTTCCATTCTTAGAGGATTCTGGCTGCTCAGCAGTCCTGGATCTGCTTTGATCTTCAATGCTCCAAATGTTTTCAGCTGGTGAAAGAGCTGGACTACAGACAGCCAGTGCGGCACCCAGACTGCAGTATGCGGTTCAGCATCATTTTTGCTGAATTGTGCATTTCTGCATCATGTTTATATGATGACTTCTTTCCAGATCACAGGAATCCAATATTCATTGTCAGCCTTGTTCCTTTGCACAAAGACATTTCTCTGTATTCTCTGAATCTTTCCATGACATTATGCACTGAATATAATGAAGAAATATTCACAGCCTTCTCAATTTCATATTGAGGTATATTATTCCAAAGTCAAAATTTGTAGTTGCAGGTTTTTGCAGATTGGTGAAACTCTGCCTCTCTAAGGCTACGTTCACACTGCAGGTCTTAATGCTCAATTCCAATTTTTTGATCAAATCCAATTTTTTTTGTCTGGTTGTTCAACACTACAAATAAAATGTGACAGCAAACATACTCTAGAGTGAACGGTTCATAGCCCTCAAAGCAGCCCACATGCGCAAAAGAAGACGTCACACACAACGCGCTCTGTTTACGGAAGTAAAAATGGCGGCTACAGAGCTGGTAGGTGTTGTTGCAGCAGTCGTAATCGACAGAATTTTGACAATTTAATTAGCGAAAGAAGGACACTGAGAAAAAAAGAGAGCCCGTCCTTTAACAATGGCCGCCATGCTTTCTCGTTTGTCTTCTCCAGCGCTGATAACTGCCATCTGTCTTGTGACAGTGACGTAAAAGACGGATTTAATGCGACATGACCATTCAAACAGCAGTCGCTTTCTAAAACATCAGATATGTTTCGGATTCAGTACCACAAAGTAACCTGGGTTGGATTTGAAAATATCGGATTTGTGCTGTTCAAACTGTCCTACCATGATCAGATATGGGTCGCATAGGGTCAAAAAAGTTGGATTTGATGCGCTTTGGCCTGCAGTGTGAACGTAGCCTAAGATGCTCTGTTTAGACCCAGTTATGTTACTGACCTGTTAGGCAGCGAAATGTTTCACCAGCTGTTTTTTTGTTTTTAGTACCACTTACTTCTCCAGCCTTCCATTTCCTCCCTCCCGACTTTTTTTAAAGGTGTGTTACTGCGATCAAATCTAAACTGAGCTAATATTTGTCATGAACTAGTAAAATGTCTCAGTTTAAACATTTAATATGATTTCTATGTTCTATTGCGAGCAAAATGTGGATTTTATTAGATTTGTAAATAAAAAGAAAATGTAACAATTTGCATCCACGTTTTTTCAGAAACATGGTTGGATTTTAAAGAAGATAATTTTAGAAAAAAAGGGTGAGAGGAGGAGAAGACTCTTTTTACATATTCACTGATTATGATTTCTTTAAACTGGGAGTCAAAACTCAAATAAATTCAATTATTATACAAAATTATAAAACAAAGAAAGTCAACCTCACAGCCTAAAACCATCTACCAGAGGATCTACAGGATTCTTCCTTGAATAAAACACTAAATGATTATGATGTTGATTATTGAGTCAAAACTATTGTAAATAATGATTTTATATGGTGACAAAGAATGCCACTAAAAAGCAGGTGAGATGTACAGCTTAAGATTTTGACCTGTACATGCAGCCAAGACAAATAGAAAATTTGAAATGAAAGAAAAAAACAAACAAAAAACAGGGAGGTGATTTCATCCTGCTGCTCACAATATCCTAACTATAATACACAGCAGGTAATTAACTTCCCAGAAACTTACTTTTGGTTTCATGAGGGGGAGCACCAGGGTTTTGGAAGGAGGAGGCAGCAAGCTGGAGTATGGGTGCAGAACCAGGGTGGTTGTCTGAAGACAAGACGAGAAGGGCAGGGAGGGAGTGGCAGGTGGGAGAAGGTGAGAGAGAAGGGGTTTAATGGAGAAAGCACACAAAATCACAACATGACCTGAATGAATGAGTGGATGTGTAACTCTCGCTGTAACCTTTCAGCTCAAAACATCCATCAAACCAGGCATGCTCACTAGGTGAGGACGCTCATCCACCAGGGGCGGAGTTAAACAGGGAGGGGAGGGAGTTCAGTTGAGATAATCACATTTAGCAACAAAGGTTTAAGACACACAAGGAGAAGAGGCAGTGGGGTTGAGATGAGGGTTGAATCCACAAGAGGGCAGCGATGGACTATTTACTGACAAAAAATAGACGTGTGTACAGCTGTGGTACTCAAACGCACACCTCTCCCACCAAACTGAAACAGGCACATCATCATTTCATGAGGTCTTCCTCCCTGCACCAACATATCGTGCTATGTGTAATATCTGATGAAGACCTGTAGACTTCTTTGTACTTAATGCATCTTAGGAACATATTATTTTAAATCTGAAAACTACTCATGTCATCATTTTATCTGAATGAGATAAGAAGAAATGTGAGTTGATTAGGGCTGTGCGATATGACCAAAATCTTATATCCCGATATAAGACATCTATCGTCCCGATAACGATATAAATCACAAAAATGCTATATTTTCTGTAAATTCTGTGAATCTCGGGCAGCTCGACTTGCGTGAAGTGTTTCCAGCTGGGCGTCGTGTAGCTGGAGTCGAGTGTTTTAACCGATGCATGAAACTATACATTTTTAGACATAAGTTGTAACGGCCGCCGTTTTCTTTGTGAGTATTTATTACACGGCGTGCTGCGGGGAAAAGCCTGTTCTAACGTTTGAGCCTAAAGTTTATTTTTTAGCACCAGACGGCTTTTTTTTTTTTTTGCTTCTGATCCGTAAACACTCTCATTACTCTTTCACGTGATTCAGTTTATTTTGAAATGTCTCAAAAGGATCTTGAGCTTTATTGTGAAAGGTTTATGTAGAAAATAAACAAGCGGACACGCGATGGTTTTACCGTCGTTGTTGCCAACAACGGATAAAAACAGGCGCTTGTCCATCCGTAGTGTGGTTATATTAAATATAAGAGAAAGAGAGAAGTTTAAGAAATTAATATAACCACTACAGTGACCATCAAAACGATGAAAAAATATTGCCGCAAACAGTTTATTTTGCCGCAAACAGTGTGTGAATGTGTGTGTGAATGGGTGGATGACTGGATATGTAAAGCGCTTTGGGGTCCTTAGGGACTAGTAAAGCGCTATATAAATACAGGCCATTTATTTTGTGACACCACGAAACAAACAATAGCATAAAATGAAACGATAGACGTTTTTATATCGTCATCCGATATATATCGTTATATCGAACAGCCCTAGCGTTGATTCTAGCAAAGGAGAAAAACAGAAGTTTTAAAACACTAGATGCTTGGCCTGCTCTTCCCACGTCTGCGTTTACAATGTGCCAACCACTAAAACAGGCCCGTTTTTCTCCTCTTACTGCTGTCTGACACAAAGCACATGGTGAGGACATTTACACATTATTCCCACAGTAACAGGTCACAAGGAGAGGAGCAACAACAACAAGAAAGAAGATAGCATTACTGCAGGAACTGTTTGCTTCATTACAATCATATGATACCAGTTAAACTAACTGAGTCATTCACAGCCAATTACTGCATTTGGAGAAGCATCCAAGTTGGAGATACCTGAGCAAGAGAAGAAAATGTGTGGAAAACTGAATCACTTGTTTTTTTTAATGAAACTTGAACAGATGTTTCATCTTGTGATTCACAAGTCTGAAGGGTGTGGTGTAGGGGAGGTAAAATCTTACTGGTAACAGGGGCGGCGTTGTTTGGAGTGTCAGCCCTCAGGTACTGCGTGGTCTGGGTGGACGGCTGAGAAAGGCCCTGTGAGCTTCCACTGTCACTCACACTGAAAGACACAGAGTCGTATATTATAAGTTTTAAAAAAACAAAAAAAACAAAAACAAAACAGTCCTTGATAAACATCCTCCCTAAAGCACAGGATAGTCATTTTCTTTCAGTCAGTCAGGTCATAGTTTTAATTGACAGTCACATGGCTCAAGGTGCTTTATAGCGTAAGACTATTTGGTGACATTGAGAAAGAAAAACTCCCTTTTAACAGAAAGACACCTGCAGCAGAACCAGGATCAGGAAGGGGCAGCCATCTGCTGTGGCTAATGAGGGTGAGGAGGAGGAAGACAGGACAAAAGACACATTATGGGAGAGTTTAATAATAAATACTAATAATTACTACTGATTAAATTCAGTAGTGGTGTATAAACACACAGAGAGTGAGGAGAAGATGTTCAGTGCATTATGTGAAACATCCACACAAGCCTATTGTAGTATAACTCAGTAAAGTAGAAAGTAGAGAAGGTGTCCGTCTCCTGAATCCAAACTGGGAGCTGATTCCACAGAAGAGGCCCCTGAAAACCTGCAGTCTGTTTAGGTTAAATGCTCTATTGGGACAATATGGTACTATGAGGTCTTTAAGATATGACGTGGCCCTTTTATTAAAGATTTTGTTTGGGAGGAGAATGATTTTAAATTCAGAATTGAATTTAAAAATGTCTAAAATGATAAGTGTGTTAGCTTTTTAAAATTTCTGACTGTCCCGATGGCAAACCTTTCTGAATGTGCTGATCTAATTTTACATTGATAACCTGTGCAAGCTTCATCTGAAGTGGAGATTAGAGGAAGAAGTGCTGCTCTTAAGACGTCACTCATGCATCAGGGTGTAAGATTTCTTTGGAAGCAGAACAAGCAAAAGAACCATACCTGTCCTCCATCTCCACTCTCTTCATGCTGTGCAGGTGCAGGATGGCCAGAATGATGGCCACGAGGAAGATGACAATGCAGCAGACACTCACGCTTATATAGAACACCTGGGTGGAGGTGGTGGGAGCGGTAACACCATCTACTGATGACACAAAAATGACAAATTAAGAATCAGACAAACAAGCCGCTCTAAAAAAAAAGACAAAGGAAAAGGGGGGAGATTACAGCATAAGAAATTCCATAATCGCATGATGCAAATATGATATGATGGCCACAGTATTAAAAAAAAAAAAAAAAGGCATACATGGAAAAGAAAGTATGAGAGCACCTCGGGCTCCACTCAAGAGTTAATGGAGACCTGGAAAAGCAGTGACTGTGCCCGGGGTCCAGCATCTGAGAGCTGTTCTCATCACCTCTCTAAAAGCCTCCGAGGGCCCCGGGCTCCTCGGGCCTACCCAAGCAGAAGGGAGACGACCCACTAATGGTGCTTTGCTTCAAGGAGGCTCACACAAGTCTGAATAGATGAGAACAACCACTCCAACTCTGAGGGGTGGGTGGGAGCTGACAGTGGTCTTCAATAGCACAATGAATCCTTCTCTTAAGCCCTCAATTCATTTTCTTTTTTCCTAACGAAGACAGACTACTGAAGACTCCTATACAGCTGACATCATAGTGATTTAACATCTGTCTCACTAGGCTGATGCCACCTGTGAACAATACACGCAGCAGGAAGAGGGGGACCAGGTGGAAAGTTTACTTACAGTCAGGCCGAGGGAGAGAGTTATTGTTGAGAGGAATGGGGATCTTTTCAGAATCGATTCCTGTTTGGGGAGGGGAAAAGGGAGAGAAATACATAAACTTCATTTAACATCAAATTATCAAAATATATTCAAATGATGCTAACTTCTAGCTCGGACTCAGCTTTATTAACATAGGCTTGGTGTAACCTCTTATTTCAGCCTTTCTTTATAAACCCATGCTCCTGATGATTATTAATTCATTTTAAGGCTGGTATGAGCACTTTAGCAAAGTGTTTTTTGCTTTTCTCCATATTTCTTCTGGTGATTTAAACCAACTTTTCTTCTCACTGGTTCACCTGTATACACTATCACGCTTGTAAACACTTTTTCCCCTAAAAACATGAAATGAAATTTAAACTTCTCAAAAACAAGTTCCATCCACAACCAACAGACTATGATGTGATGTGATGTGTGAATGTGATGCAGTGATGCATAACAGCTGAGCGTTACAAGTAATTTATCCATACAACATGACAGCAACACAGAAAATGTGGTTTAAATTTAAAAAAAAATTAAAGAGCATGTCTCTACTACACGACGGGGATTTTCTTTTTCCTAAATCTTTGGTGCAATTTATTATAAAGCCCAAAAGCAGCTCATTTATCTCAACTTTAAACAAAAAGCTCTGCTTCAAACAGAAGAACGCAAAACAAACTCTTCACTCTGTTAGTTTGGTCTTGTTTAGAGGGTGATGATGAAACCCTTGAAAAGTTGAGCAGTTAACTTATTTTGACAACAAGTTGCGATCATAAATCAGCAAACACGGACACACATTTTCAGCCCTCTCCCGTGTCACTGCAGGCAGCGACAGGGAGGAATGACTGCAACTCAGGCACACAAAGAATCTGTTCATGCTACCAATTCGACTCCTGCTTAAAATAAGACGGGAATAAATTTGTTTCCATGGGGGCATATGGCAAGAAGCCTCTGGGCCACATGTAATTATCTTCAGGCAGTTTGAAAATAGCAGCAAACAAGGAACACAAGAACCGGCACATCTACCTACTGTTACTTTAACGTTTGGTTAATAATGTAGGGGAACCAGCAATATGACAGATTTTTATTTATTTATTTAATGAAATTAGAAGGGTGACATTTATTGATATGACCTTTAAAGGGTTAATGGCCGCCTGGTAAACTGCCTTTAAATACATAAGGTAACATGAAGAGAGATCTAGGATCCTGGTGCATCTGTAGTCTTTCTTAATCTAAATCAATGCTGCTTGAGTGTGTCTGCCCTGCTGTTATGTTTTTAGGTCTCTTTCTTATTAATTTTTTTTTTTATCCCCCTGCATTTACACAATCCTTGGTAAGGAAAGAGTGTTTTTAAACTGCTGTGAGCTGTCTGATGTCTTTCTAATTTATGGTTCCTGTCTGATGGCCTTAGAAGGGATATGCATATTTCACCATTGCCCCTAGAGGCCAGAAGGTGTTGTGGTCACTTCACTGGTTGTGTTTCACACGGGCTGTGATGTTACCACAGACCAGTCAGTGTCTACAGTCCATTTTGACATCTGAATGAATATTTGTAAAGCTTGTGAGGTAACCTGCAACCAACCGTGTCAGGTTACAAAAAAGAAAAATCGTGATGTGCGTGACTAGCTGAAATGACACCGAAAGCATACCAAGTACTACTGTTTACAGGCTGACAATGGCGAGAATAAAAGAGGATTAATTGCTTTGCTGGGTTTTTTAAAGCTCCTGAAGAAGGTGCAGCCTGATACGCGATGGTTCAATTTTTATCATCTATAGCGCACAGAAACAGAAGTCATTTGTTACATGTTACCTTGAGTGGCCCTGGATGTTTTTAATAACATTTGACTGGTCATAGTTCTTCCAGTCCCCCCCGAGCAGTTCTCCAGTTACCCCATTTTATTTTATTTTATTTTAATCAGATTTAAAATTTTAATTTACAATTTTGCTTTCCAATGTTACTGAAAATTGTCAGATACCATCAGATTTCACTACAAAGCTCTTACTGTGTTTTGAGCTTCATAATTAATAAAGCTAAAAATGTCTTTTCATACTATTAAGATTTTCCTTGTTACGAGCCCTCTAAGTACATGGGACGGCTCAAAACTTTGCACCAATTCGTGATCCAACTTATTTTCATAAGGAGCTTTTCACATTAAATTTTCAGAGCTGAGAGAGTTTTTAAACCTCACATTTGTGTACATGAACAGATTCTTACTCTTATAGCACATTTTCCTCCTCTTGAAGTTGAGCACTGTGTAGTTGTTGGCATGGATGGTCAGATTCAGCTGCATTGTTAAAAATGCCTCTTCATCTACTTTGCCCGAACATAAGATGTCCACTCTGAAGACTGCGGAGGAAACACGCACACAAAAACATAAATATTACACACACATAAAAACTCCATCATAGCTTCAGGATTTTCAGAACTTTTCTTTAAAAATTAAAGGTGAATATTTGACAGACCAGAGGGAACACGGGGCACTTCCCCCTGAAGGGAGATGTTGCACCATGGCGGGTTCAGGGCTACAGGGTTCTCCACGCTGAATGAAAGCCGGTAGTCAACCTTTAAACGAGGAACGGAGAAGAAATGTTAATATTTCCCTCACACGAGTGATCAGATGACCTGTGTGCCGAGAACATGCTCGGCTCGGTCTCACCTTTGTCTTGGAGTACCATGTGAAGTAGAGGCTGTTGGTCTCAGTGGGGACAGACATGTTGAAGGAAAGCGCGTAATGGTTCACCACATCGTGTCGCACGTAGTACAGCTCTGCGTCGAGGCCTGTGTGAGAAGAAGGAACAGATTTTACTTCGGTGAGAACCTCATCCAGTGCAGGAGATGATTGAGCCCTTAAACTCTGTGGACTGACATCACTTAACAAACACCTCTATTCTGAAGAAATTATTGAGATCACGGGACATAAAAGACCTTTTATAACACATTTCCTCATTCAGAGCAAGTCTCGTATACGGTTAAATATCCAGTCACACTGCTAGCCGCACTAGCAGGCTTCTCCTCAGTAAAGAGAGATGGACTAAACATTGCAACATCATTGCGCTGTTAGCACTTAATAACACTTAATGGTCATGTGAAAAAGTTCAAAAGGTTTAAGTCAGACAGCGTCCAAAAATATCAGCATAATTTCCAATCTAGGAAACTAAACCCGACACTCACAATCTGTGCAACCATTCACAGAAAGCTCAGCAGGCTGGTACTCTGTGCTGTTTCTTCCCCTTTTATTTTAACGAATTCAAGCCTTTAAAGAAGCTTTTTTTCTTTTTCTTTTTTTACTCCATCAAAAAGTGTAATGTATGCTGGTGAAATCCCCCAACCAGTGCCCAAGGCAGTGCTATCACTCCTTGAAAGAGTCTGTCTGGCAGAGAAGGGTCTATCAGTCTGTGAATATCTAGTTTAAAGAGAAGTGAAGAATGCACCCAGGCTCCCACAGTACCCCTGGGTGTCTCAGAGCACCCGTCATAGGGCGTTCTTACACCGGCTCAATTAAAAACAGAGGCGACGAGGGTTACGTAAAGTTTCTAACGAGTCCAAAGAACAAGACAGCTGCTCTCTCTTTTTCTGTTGATCACATTTTTAGCATGTGAAAAGGTAAAATTCAGAAACTAAAACTTTGGATGATTAAATCAAAAAAGGGGGATTTGACTTGCATGGAAAGAAAAGGGGTGTGCTGAAAGGCAGACTAGGGAATGTTCACAGTAAATGTTTTTTTGTCTCGACTAGCTTGTAATTTTAAATTTTCATAACTTCAAAGTAAAATGCATGCATAACTTCCTTAAATTAAAGTTGGGTTTTAAAAAAAGAACTGATTCTGAGGGGACAGGCTGAAACTTTGATCTGATTGATCATATCAGGACCCAAGTTTGCACCTGGATCGACACCAGCTCACAATCAGAAATCAGTTTTCTGCTTTTCCAGCAGCTTCAGAACTGCATGCTGATTCGAGCACACAGCCCAAACAGGAACAGCGGTGGGAAGAAACAAAGCAGAAATACTCTATTACTGTGGAATTTTCAGGTATCTGTACTTGAGTTTTTTCGTCTGACAGCTTTTTACTTTTACACACTACATTTTTTTTTTTTTTTTGATTTCTGTACTTTCTACTTCTTACAAGCTTAAAACAGGCTTGTTACTTTTGGTTTGTCGGAACTGAAGGGAGTTATTTCATCACTGCAGGCCACCAACATCAAGCAGACTTGAGCCTAAACAGTAACACATGAAAGGCACTCCTTTTTGTGTATTAATCACCAGGAAATGTCGACTAAAACGAGATCAAACGGGTACAAGCGTGTGTCATACTCAGAGGTTAGAGTGGGCCAGTGTTGTTTTTTGACACAACACCGGAACGACTGCAGGTGTCCATAAGTTGCTATCTCAGTACTTCAGCATGTAGCTAGCCCTACAGAAGACTAGCAAGCATAAAGGGACTGATCTTTTTTTTAGGGCAAACAGGTTCGTTTGCTGTACTGTGATGGATTTAAACTAAAGAACATTGTGTGCACAGTGTCCATGGTTTCATGGTCAGAGTTAGGTACATTAAGAATAGCAGAGCTGAATCTGAAATTAAGCTGGTGATGCTGAGATTCATTCACTGAAATCCACTCTTGTAAGAACCTTGTACCATCTAGAAAAAGACCCCCAGCATAAACATACTGTCAGTGTAGAGGATGGAAATCAGCCAGGACAACTCATGAAACATCTGCTCACATCTGGTTGAATTCAATTGTGTACACCCACAAAGAGCAGCAGGTCACCTTACCACAGCCTGTAAACTAAGAAAATCTACTGCAGCTCTCAACAGAAATTATTGTAAGTTGTGATTCTTTTCCCACTCTGAGCCACTACAGGTGATTTTAGGGTCCCCCCACCACCACCACCACCTGTTTAGAGGCAAAGACAACCTCTACAATGTAGGCAAGAGAAAATAGAGCTATTTTTTATTTTCCTTTTTTTCCCCCCTCTGCTCATGTTCTACTTACCTGATTCAAGCTTAGTACCTTTATTAGAACTGAATATCAGACTAACATAAAGTTTGTATTCCTATCTACTAATATAATTTCTTTATTACATTAATGTGGGACAAGGTTTAGTTAGCTTTGCATAAAAATAGGTGGTAGAGATGTTCTTTGAGGAACTACTTTTGTACTTTTTCACCTTTACTTGAGTAAAGAAGTTCAACTTTTCAACTTTTACTGGAGTATTTTTAAACACTAGTAACTGTACTTCTACTTGAGTACAGAATGTCTGTACTTTTGGCACCTCTCAACAGGAATAATTACCTTACTCGTGCTCAACTTTGTGTGCCCCCCTTGTCTCAACATGAGGCCACACACATCTCTTATACCAATTAAATTATGCAGCCAGGCATAAAGGCTCCAAGAGGACGAGAGTGGCTCAAGTTTCTCACAGCACTTTCCACCCAAAATGCCAGAATTTCAAAACAGGAATCAGAGGCGGTGGCAGCAGCAGCAGCAGCAGCAGCCTGTAAGTGTACACAGACTGAGGATGGGGAATAAGTGGTTCCTGAGGTGGAGGAAGTTGAACCATGCACTGCACTTTAATCCCTGACTTAAATACTCAGCTCTCTGGAATGAAAAACAGTATAACCAGGAGATGTGTCTGTAAAAAGGACTCCTTTTTGATTAGTGGTGTGCCTTGCACATCAAACAACTAGAGATGCCACCAGCTCTGATGCTAACTCAGACTTCTCCAGCATGACACTTGAGAGCGTGTTGTTGGCATTTCCCGCACAATTTTTCTGTTTCACTGCAGCATTTAAGCAGTTTGTCGTCAGCATTTCACCACCGGTCCCACAGTTATCAGGCCAAGCACTTGAGCAATATAAAACTAGAATTATTTTTTGCAGCCTTACATTAATTTTTGCATAATCATATGACTAGGATGCACAATTAATGCAGTGCCCCGGTCAATAAACTTAACAGTGCTCCTAACAGCAGATGATTTAATACAGTGGGTGTTTTGTCTGTTCGTATGGAAGTATCTGAAGAATTCATTTAAAAAAATTCATGCATGAAATTACTACCAATATACTGGCACAGCGGCAAAGTAAACGACACGAAAGCAGTGCATGACCCAACTTGCAGAGATCCGTGAGGTAACCAGTGTCTAAGTAACAAAGAAACAAGTACAAACATATTATTATGAAGTATTATTGTATGGAAATTCTTTTAAAGTTCAGATCCCTTAAATCATGTCTCGGTAATTCAACCATTACACTGCCTTCAGAGAGCTGATCGTTGTAATCGCTTGCTCTTTCTGGTTGCTTTCCTTCCTAACATTCCTTCCATCCTAGAGATTCCCTCCACTTCACTGTAAGACACCGTGGAAATAATCCACAGCCTGCTCTGTGGAAAAATGGATTCAAAACTAGTTTAGCCGAAGATAATAAAGTTATAGTAATAACAAGAATAAGGCTTCAGTTCAAATAATTTAAAGTGCTTTTCAAAGCTGAAGTGTTTGTACAAAAGCTTCTTTGCTAAGCCCTGATAGTAGCATGGTGGATCGGTGACATAAAACCATACATTCACTTGGCTCGCAAAAGGACGGAGGGTAAGAATTACCAGCAATGCTCCCAACATACACATGTGCCTCGCCAATGATCAGTCAGTAAATCTACTCAGGCCAGATTCACCAACACTAGGGCCAGCTGGCATTGAAGAACTACTGTCAGGATTTACCAAGGAGCCATATTATTAATAATTTGCAACTAAAATGTACAGACACTGTAATTTTAGGAGCTGGCCTTATTTGTAGGAGTTTCCCTTTCAGAGTGCAAAGTCTGGGAGGAGAATATTTAAATTAATTATACATAATAATGATTTACGGAGGTTTGTGGTGGTTAACTACAAATTAAGCCAAATATAATTAATGAAAAATAACGTTTGCCTCATTGTGCACCACACGTGACCGTGATTGGTGCAGCTCAGTGTGGTCATTTATTTAGAAAGACGGGATAAGAGGTTGCCTGAATAAGTGTATAACTAGCACAGATGTCCAGTTCTTCAGTTAGTCCTCATCCCAGACGTTTAGAGCCGAGGCTTCATATTCCTGGTCCTCAATAATACCGTGAATTTGATGAAACACAGCATAGCTTGAAAGGAAAGGAAAGAATCCAAATATGCTACTTTAGTAAGTCACAGAAACACTTAATCAGTGTTTTATATGTAATTTTATTGTATTTGTATTTTAATTTTAGGCTTGTATTATACTCAAGTTTCTAAATGCTTTTCTTTCGTACTTGATTTTTGTACTTATTTCTTCAAGTTAACTGGAAAAAAAGTACTTAGCCATTTCTCTACTCTGTTTATTAAGCTGGTATATAGTTTTCTATGTGTAGTCTTTAATGTTTTGCCTGCTACAACAGGAATTTCCCAGCTTCTGGGATAGATCTCAAGTATATCTCATCTTAGTGAATAGTATGGAATGATCTTTCTGACCACACCAATGAAGTTCTGACGGATGCCATGTAACAAAGGTCCATTCTGAGTCAGTAAAAAAACAAAACATACAGTATGCATGATTTATATATCTAGGAGAAACTAGATGCACCACAAAAATGAATAGCATGAAGAAGCTGTTCAGAATAAAGATTTGGTGAACATTTGAGGACGCCGTCCTAGTCTGACACTAGTAATGTAAAAAGAAAGAACATACATATGTTCAAATCCCTATAAAAGCCACATGAGATGATGTATAAAACCACACAGAGCACCACACTGACACACTACACCTCAGAGCAGCTCAGT